ACTAATATTGAAGTGTGTGACCTGATGTAGATGTTAATAATATTGAAGTGATTAACCTGATGTAGATATTACCAATATTGAAGTAATTAACCTGATGTAGATGTTAGTAATATTGAAGTGTGTGACCTGATGTAGATGTTGCTAATATTGAAGTGATTGACCTGATGTAGATGTTACTAATATTGAAGTGTGTGACCTGATGTAGATGTTACTAATATTGAAGTGATTAACCTGATGTAGATGTTACTAATATTGAAGTGATTAACCTGATGTAGATGTTACTAATATTGAAGTGATTAACAACATCAGGTCACACACTTCAATATTAGTAACATCTACATCACACTTCAATATTAGTAACATCTATTAACCTGATGTAGATGTTACTAATATTGAAGTGTGTGACCTGATGTAGATGTTACTAATATTGAAGTGTGTGACCTGATGTAGATGTTACTAATATTGAAGTGTGTGACCTGATGTAGATGTTACTATTATTGAAGCGTGTGACCTGATGTAGATGTTACTAATATTGAAGTGATTAACCTGATGTAGATGTTACTAATATTGAAGTGATTAACCTGATGTAGATGTTACTAATATTGAAGTGATTAACCTGATGTAGATATTACTAATATTGAAGTGATTAACCTGATGTAGATGTTAATAATATTGAAGTGATTAACCTGATGTAGATGTTACTAATATTGAAGTGTGTGACCTGATGTAGATGTTACTAATTATTGAAGCGTGTGACCTGATGTAGATGTTACTAATATTGAAGTGATTAACCTGATGTAGATGTTACTAATATTGAAGTGTGTGACCTGATGTAGATGTTACTATTACTGAAGTGTGTGACCTGATGTAGATGTTACTAATATTGAAGTGTGTGACCTGATGTAGATGTTACTATTACTGAAGTGATTAACCTGATGTAGATGTTACTAATATTGAAGTGTGTGACCTGATGTAGATGTTACTAATACTGAAGTGATTAACCTGATGTAGACGTTACTAATATTGAAGTGTGTGACCTGATGTATATGTTACTAATATTGAAGTGTGTGACCTGATGTAGATGTTACTAATATTGAAGTGTGTGACCTGATGTAGATGTTACTATTATTGAAGCGTATGACCTGATGTAGATGTTACTAATATTGAAGTGTGTGACCTGATGTAGATGTTACTATTACTGAAGCGTGTGACCTGATGTAGATGTTACTAATACTGAAGTGTGTGACCTGATGTAGATGTTACTAAT